AGGCTTAGGAGAAAGTGCGGTTGTCACATGAGAAGAAAATTGAACTCTTTGGCATCAACTCGACTTGCTGTGTTTGGAGGGAGAGAAATGCTGACTATGACCCCAAGAACACCATCCCTACAGTCAAGCATGGAGGTGGAAACATTATGCTTTGGGACTGTTTCTCTGCTATGGGTACAGGATGACTTCACCGCATTGAAGGACCGATGGACAGGGCCATGCACCGTAAAATTCTGGATGAGAACCTTCTTCCCTCAGCCAGAACACTGAAGATGGGGTCATGGATGGGTCTTCCAGCAGGACAATTACCAAAAATACCGTCAAGGCAACAAAGGAGTGGCTCAAAAAGAAGCACATTAAGGTCATGGAGTGGCCTAGCCAGTCCCCAGACCTTAATTCTATAGAAAATCTGTGGAGTGAGCTGAAACTTTGAGTTGCCAAGAAACCTTAAGGATTTAGAGAGAATCTTTAAAGAGGAGTGGAACAAAATCCCTCCTGAGATGTGTGCAAACCTGGTGACCAACTACAAGACACGTCCTACCTCTGTGCTTGCCAACAAGAGTTTCTCCACCAAGTTTTGCTTGGGGATCAAATACTTATTTGACTCACTGAAATGCAAATCAATTTATAACCTTTGAACAGTGCTTTATTTTCTGGATTTTTTGCTTGATATTCTCTCTATCCGTTAAAATAAACCTACCATAAAAATTATAGACCCTTCATTTCTTTGTAAGTGGGCAAACTTACAAAATCAGTAGGGGATCAAATAATTATTTTCCCCACTGTATATATGGGTGTGTGTGTATATTCAAATTGTTAATAAAACCTAAATAGTATCTCAGTAATAATAAAATGACATGCTACAGTACATCCTAATAATGCTAGTAGGTAAAATCATCAGTGAACTTTCATGTGACAGCTGAGGCTCAGGAGACCTTAAAGCTTAATCACTTTATTATACAGAAGAGCTCTCAAGCATAACTACAGACTGACTGCACACTTTCCCTTAAAAGAAAACAGGTGGAGAGGCTTTTTAACCACTGAACTGACTGACATGCTCAGTGGCTGTGTGTTTGTGAGTCTTACCGATGGTCTGTCTCTGTGTGTATTCACAGCATCCACGTTCAAACAGACTGACTCCACCTTACAACCTGAAGACTCAGAATGATTCACAATCAAGACCGGAATAGCGTCATTTAAAGAATAATGTCCAGGTTAGTTCAGAAAGGGTGTCTTACCATAGGCCATCGGTGTTAACTTCAATACTGTGTGTAGAGGGCATTTCAGGTAAGGCAGTTCCTCTGCAGGAAATTACAAAACACACCAAACAAGTAGACTTTAGATTAGATTTTAAATGCGTTAATCATCAGTGCACTTCAGTGCAAGTGAACTGTGATTTAAAAAGAGGCAAGCTCTTCATGGGTGGTGTCATGGTGGTTATTACCTGCAGTCTTGTCCAGAAAGTAGGCCAGCAGGCATCTCATGACCGCTTGATGACAGATGACCAGAACGTTCTCCTGCCGCTCTAACTCCATGATCACCGGCTCCAGCCGCTGGACCAAGTCTTCATAAGACTGCGAGGAGAATACTCGATTACAACACTGTTCCATTTGCTATATAATGATCACATCACAAAAGGGGCTGGATAAAATCAGCAGCTGGCATGAAACGTCAAGTGATACTACACTGAATATTTGTACTTTGAAAAGTTCATTTGTCACACAACAGAACTCTTGAAGTGAACTGCAGAAAAGCTAGGAGGTGATTAAAATAGTGAAAATATACAATCATTACACATAAAATATATAATTATAAAAATAGAAACACAGAGAATAAAAATGGAATAAAATAAATGTTGAACTGGAAATGTAAAATGTTGCATTGGCAAAAAAACTGAAATAAAATAAATGCAAAATAAATAGAAATAAAATAAAATAAATGCAAAATAAAGCGGAAGTACTAAATTTACTAAAATTAAGATAAATAGAAACATTATAAAAAAACTAATAAAATGACAAAAGCACATCACAAAGTTATCGTTATTAAATCTTGAACTACAAGTAAAATTAAAACAAAATGTAAAAAAAAAAAGCTAATTCAAAATAGTATTATATATATGTGTGTGTGTGTGTGTGTGTGTGTGTGTTAAGGATATATTTTTACCTACAATTTTACACAATCTGGTACAAGATTCTTAAAATCCAAAAATCAATCTTTCTATTAATCTTTGCATTTTTATCAATGGACATGAGATGATTTTCACAAAATTTTGACCATTATATAAAAAAGCTAATTATATTTAGTGGTTTGAGACCTACTATTAAACAATGTTTTGATATTGCACAGTTGCAATTTTCACATTAGTTTAAATCATATGTTCACAGAAACCTTTCTGGTAGCACATTATTTTACAGTCCTGTTCCGCATGTATACTATGTACTTATTAGGGCTGTGCGATATTGAAGAAAAATGCGATATGCGATAACTCAAATAAATAAAAAAAAACACTGCTTAGTATTTACTCTTTGAATTCAATATGCACTGATTCTTATTTAAGCTACAAAAGTTATTTAGGTAAGAGCAGTGAGTGATTTTCTCTTTGTCTTTTGTTCATGGCCTCAAATATTGCAAGCTGTAGCGATATGCATATTGCGATATGCACATTTGCGATATTTCGATAATTTCAATATATTGCACAGCCCTAGTACTTATCATAGTAATTACAGTGAGAGGTTAATAACTAGGCACTAACCCTGAACCTACACCTAAGCCTAAGCTTAACCCATGTAGTTACCTTATTTTACCCAGTACTTTCTTAGATAAGTACACATACTGTAAAATAAAGGTGCAACCACCTTTCTCATTGATACTGAATCAAAATTGATATAAGAATGATACACAGTCCTAAAACACACACCCTTATGTACAGTACTGGAATAAATGCATGCAAACTTAAACACAAGTCACAAGGACCTTGCACCCAGTCTTTATCTAATATATTGAGAACATTGTGGTCCTTTAATGCTCTCTGAGTAAACAGGTTTGAGATACTGATCTAAATGAGAACTACTTGCTCTGAAGAACAGACGCGCTCACAACCTGACAGATGAGAGGAGCAAATGGAAGTGTGTATGTGCGGGTTGAGGGTAGTGGTGTGTGATGTGCTCGGTCAGAGTAATAACAGCTCGCAAAAACAAGTGAAATAACGTCAATTAGGCCTTTTTGGAACAATGTCAATGCAGCCTAAAAACAGACTTGTTTACTCCATTTCAGAGAATTTAGCTGGTGAGCAATCCTGAGGATAATGGCTAACAGAGAGCCTAGCAATCAGCAACATTTATTTGATGGTTGTTTAATGTGCTCAAGTGTAAGTAAAAGCTGTTTGTTGCCAAAGGGACAAAAAAGAGCAATACAAACACTAAAGGATAAAATATCAATGCTAAAAAACATCTATGCTAAACATAAGACCATTAACCCTTGTGATATCAATTAAAATGAAATGCAACTGTTTGAATGAAAACTGATCTGATGTAAACAGACCTCTCCTTTGGGATAGCGATAACGATATTTGTCCTGGTCTCGTAATGCAAACTCCAGTGGATATCTCTGCTGGATCTCCTCATACATGAGCTCCTCACAAACACCCTAAACACACACAGATTGAAGAGTCAAGTAACACAATATCCCTAAAATAAAGACAAAGCTTGTTTAACGTTCAGAAATAAGAGACTTACGGCATCAATCTCATTGAGAGCTTTCCACTGTTCGTATGGCACTCCCACAGCTTCTGCCGTCTGTATGGTCCTCTTCATCTGACTCGTCCACACCTTCAAATCATGGATATTCTGCGACTGGATAAACTGGCCCAAAGACTTAGCAAACTGAGAGGGACAGTGAAAAAAACAGAGGTTTAAATGATTACCTAACACAAAAGAAACATATATTCTTTGAAAAGGTCTAAGACACCTGATCTAATTAAAACACAGAGAAGCAGGACTTTTTGCTCAAAGTCATTTGTCCAAAACTCATTTTCAACGATACAACTGAGTGGTTAGAGCATTGTGTTAGCAGTGCAAAGGTCGTGGGTTCAATTCCCAGGGAACACACATACTGATAAAAAATTTATAGCCTGAATGCACTGTAAGTCGCTTTGGATAAAAGCGTCTGCTAAATGCATACATTTATTTATTTAAATTTTTTAATTGAACTAAAATCAATAATTTTAACTGCATTTACAAGTGTTTCACTTAGAATTCACCATTCATTTCTGGACCATGGGTATTTGAAGATTAAATTATTATAATATCTAATGTTTATCATTATGTCCATTTTTCTACACTACCATTAAAAGGTTTAAGGCTAATATGATTTGAATGTTTTTGAAAAAAATATATTTTCCTCTTATGCTCACCAATGCTGCCTATATTTAATAAAGATATATTAAAAACAGTAATATTGTGAAATATTATTACCTATTAAAATATCTGTTTTCTATTGGAACATAATTTATTCCTGTGATGGCAAGATATCATTACTACATTCTTCAGTGTCACGTGATCCTTCAGAAATCATTCTAATATGCTGATTTGCTCAAGAAACTTTTTCTTTTTTTATTATCAATGTTGAAAACAGTTGTGCTGCTTAATATTTTTGTGGAAACCATGATGCATTTTTTTTTTCAGAATTCTTTGATGAACATATAGTTTAAATGAACAGCATTTATTTGACAAAAAATATTTTCTAACATTATAAATGTTTTTACTGACATTTTTGATTAATTTAACCACTTACTGTGCGCCCCTATTTTTGAGCATTTTCTGAAAAACGACATACCCAAATAAAAATGTCTGTAGCTCTTGAACCCTATGGTCTATATTTATAAATCTGGTATTGTTTGAATAGTGGAACACTTCACTATTTTTGAAAATAGGCTAATTTTCCAACTCCCCTAGAGTTAAACAGTTGAGTTTTGCTGTTTTCGAATCAATTCAACCGATCTCCCGGTCTGGCGGTAGCACTTTTAGCTGCAGCTTAGCATAGATCATTGAATCTGATTAGACCATTAGCATCTCGCTCAAAAATGACCAAAGAGTTTTGATATTTTTCCTATTTAAAACTTGACTCTTCTGTAGTTACATCGTGTACTAAGACCGACGGAAAGTGAAAAGTTGCGATTTTCTAGGCCGATATGGCTAGGAACTATACTCTCATTCCGGCGTAATAATCAAGGAACTTTGCTGCCATACCATGGGTGCAGCAGGCGCAATGATATTACGCAGCGCCTGAAATAGTCCTCAGCACGCTCCCTGTGCAAGCAGGTGGTCACGTTGGTTATGTTGACGGAAGTTAGCCTATTTAGTTAGCCTAAGCTGCAGCTAAAAGTGCTACCGCCAGACCCCGAGATCGGCTGAATGGATTCGAAAACGGTAAAACTCAACTGTTTAACTCTAGGGGAGCTGGAAAATGAGCCTATTTTCAAAAATAGTGGAGTGATCCTTTAATGAGTCCTTGCTGAAAAGTAATAAAAAATTAAAATGACTCCAAACTTTTAAACAGTTGTATATAATAGCATTAGAATCTTATTATGATACAATAATATTTTTCTGTCCTGATTTAATTAGTTTTACATGTTATTTCAAGACTGTCAAGCCTCAAGCCATTTTTGTGCTTGTTAGTTACACTAAAAATTATCAGTCAATGCAAACAGGCCTATACAGCTTACCTCCTTTCCCCTAGCCGAGAGCCCTGAATCTCCACCGATACGACCTTTGATGTTCAGATCACTCTCTCCATGCCGGCACAAGTAGATGGAGCGGGGCGTGATGTGGATATTCATAAGGTAGTACACTATTCGGCTCTGTATGTGGTCCTGGACCCGGTTCACCAGGTACCGCCGCCCCACATCAATGATCTTAATAAACGAAAGGTCCCTGAACACACCAACAAAAAAAAACAGTGTGAAATTCATAGATTCATAGTTTGGATTCAGCAGCACCGAAATGGCATTTACCTGTCCAGTTCCTCATCCAGTGGCTGATAAGAGTTCTCATAACATTTAATCCTCTTCATAAAGTCTGCGACGGCCTCTTCTGTGTTACAGTGTGTGTAGTCTGGACTGCCCAACTTCACTTGCTGAACACCAAGACCACCAATTTAGACAAAAAACAATGGAAGATAAAGGTTTTGAAGATGTTCTGCAGTTCTGAGACTTACCACAATGTTCTCGGCAATAACATCCGGGTCTTCACACACAGATTCCACAAAGAAAGCCTGAGGGGTGTGAAAAGAGTGTTTTAAAAGAGCAAACAAATGAGAAACACAGCATAGATGAATGATCCCATATCCAGCACCTTGAAACCATTCTGCTCTGCAAATCTGAGGATCGTCTCCCTCCTTTCTCTTGTTGTGTTTGTGGCATCAAAAACCTAAAGATTGTAAAGCAAAATGGGTACATGCATACAAAAAGGAACTGTTACATTGCAACTGAAGTACTTGAGCACAGTATTTTTACCCATATTCTATATTCTATACACATTGTGTTCAAATGATGTTTTCTTACCGCCACCTGGCCACCTTCGTCTGTGAGGAACTGCCGTACATCATTGAGAGCTGCCAATGCACACTGCCTAGAAGAGACAAAAAAAATCACATGAGCTTCTAAGCATTCTTAGCATTTTTTTTTTTTAAACTAGCAGTTTCATTTCACATTCTGAATGGTTGCCGCTGATAAAAATCAATGTCTTACTTCCTGATTTTAAGCCCCTCTTCATTGTCTGGCCGAAAGAACTCAAAGGATTTGTAGATCTTCACACATTCACGTCTGTACTGCCCAACGTTAAACTCTGCAAAGTTAAAACACCAAGACAAGCCAATTTCTGGATGAGCAAAACATCTGTAACAACAAACTCATGGCCAGCATTTCAAGTCACAAATATGCATTTTACCTTTTGTTGGAACATCAATCCAGTTGAGGTAGCGTGTCAGTTTCTTGGAGATGTAGGTCTTTCCTCTGGCTGGTAGACCAACAGTTACTATAAGTGTGGGGCAGTTGGTCATGCATACTGAAAGACAAAAAAACAGCAGCTCATAAAAAACTAAGCAGAGATGTTTAACAATAATATTCTTCCTATATACTGCAGGTGAACTGTCGATCATCACACCATATGCTGTAAAGAACTGAAATGTTTTAATCTATGTGCAGTTAAGGTGACCTTTTTATTGCTTTAATAAAATCTGTGAGTTGTCACTGTAGAGCATAAGTCATTTCGGTATCTCCTCATCAAACTGCATATTATCATATCAACGTCCACATAGTCCTGCAATTTAAAATGGGTGAAAATTATATGTTGTTTCTGATCTGTACACAAAAATACTCTAATATTTAAATTAGTACAGCTTTTTTAGAGGTAAAACATTTCTTTAACAAATCAAGAACAGAGCAATTTTACAAAAGCAATATTTAGCTGTTGAAATATTTTAGAGACAGCATAACTGATAATGTAGAGATGAAAAATTTATTTTTATTATAGAAATTTCCATGAATAACTTTGACTGGCTTAGAAAACATAATTTTAAAATTCCCTTATATTTCCAGGTTTTCCATAATCATGGGAACACTTAATATAGATGAAATAATGGCACTGTAAATATTTTATATATTCAAGTATATATTTTTTATTATTAATATTATACTATATTTATAGTTTATTTTAATATGCACATACTAGTGCACAATTGAAATTGTTATTACTGAACGCTATATAGGCTACAAATATAAATATAACTCGTAATCATCCATTTTAATTTATGAAATTGTCTATTTGACATGTTTGATTAAACAAAATTAAATGCAATCAAACAAAACGCTTCTAGAATTATTTAAGTCCAGCTCAAACCATCGTTAAATTGTATCGCCATATAAGCATTGCATCAGAAAGCCTCTTTAACACGCATCTGACTCCAGCATCAGTGTCCGGTTCTCATCCTTTCATCCATACTCACCCTTCCTTTGACTAATGTGTCTGTCTGGAAGGCCGTTAGTGGAGGATGGCACCCATATTTTCTTTAAAGGATTCTGTGTGAGCTCTCGGGTTAGACTGTTACCGCTTTGCTCCGTGCTGTCCTTTGTTGCATTCATTTTATCCGTCGTCTCTACACACAAGCGTTCATAACCATCAGTGAGCACTAAAGACGGCGCTGAACAATAACTGGTAGAGAACAACACTACCGTAACAGCAGCGGGAAATGCGCACCTACTACACTTTACCGTAATGCGTGGTGTATTTTTACATAGTGATTGATTAACATAGACAAATACACGGTGATTAGGACATACATAATAATCCAAAAATAAGTGTTTAAGTGGCTTGGTCTATACAACAGTCTAAATTTTATAACTTATATAATATTTCAAACATAACTGGTGAAAAGTTTTTTTTTTTATGTCATTTGTCGCGTGGTGTCTGTTACTTTAGATGAACTAATCATAGTCGTTTAAGGTTGCTGCATCTCCAAAGTATTTTCATTTGTTTGTAAGTTTTTTTATTATTATTATTAAAGTTAAATTAAATTATTATAAGTGAACAAATGTCTCCAGTAAGACGAAAAAATCGTCCTGAGCAGAGGTTGTATGAATTCTTGGCTTACTTTATACAAACTATTAAAGATTTTACATGTGTACCAAAACCTGAAGGATGATATTAGTATAATTACAGTATAATAAAAGGCATTTCGCTTCCTAAAAAAGTATAAACTATCAAGCAGACGACAGAAAACATGTAGAAGCCTGTGTAAAACAGGTTTTTCCAGCAATGAAGAAATGCCCAAGAAATTGATGCATCACATGAGATACAGCAGGTTTTCTCGATTGTTCTAAAACAGCGCTTGTCCGAGCGCCCCCGTGTGGTACTGGACATTTATATTACCGGTATTCTTTTTGTATAGTCCAGGGGTGCCCAAACTCAGTCCTGGCGTCCGTTTTTGAAGCTCAAAAGTGGGCGGAGGCGGCCGTCGCCATCTTGGCAGCGCGTCACCGCGCGTCACTCCCGGATAATCGAAAATAGGCAAAGAGGGGGGAGCTGGCTGCTGAAACCACGCCCACCGAGCTCGACGGTGGTAACAGCAGCGGCAAGCCACCTGTCACTCAAGTGGCCACGCCCTTAATTATGCAGAATTTTAAGGCTTAATATAATTTAAACGGATGAGTTATAAAAAAATTCACCCCCCTCACAGTTGTCATGAAGGGCACAATACGTGACAGTCTTGTTTACTTCTTCCTTCTCGCGCACACAATACCAGCTGCTTCCGCCAGAGAACAGCCATAACCTCATGCTCCTTACCCCTCTTATCCAGATTCTGCGTGTTTTTGGACCGGCCGGCGCCCCTCATTGTCCTCGTTTTGTGTGTTGGTGCTTTATTTTGATGCTCGAGCCTTGAGGTATAAAGGAGGAGAAGTATGTGAAAACACAAGCGCACACGCCCACTGATTGACAGCTGGCGCAGCCAATCGCTGCGAGGCAGTGGCGAGGGGACACACCCACCTATCATTAGAAGGAATCGAGAAAGTTTGTGTTGATACTGTTGCGCAGTGTTATGCAATGCTTTATATGTTACACAGGAATGTGTCACAGTGTAATCAATGATTACACTCGAGTCTTTGTTTGCAAGTTTAAAGAAAATGGATGGGATTTTTGAACACGCCCAAAAACGATTTAATCTTTAACAGTATTTTATGTTTTTTTTAATATAAATTTTTTTTCTAGTATACATAATATACTATGAATAAACTATATATAATAATAATTTATAATATATAGCCTATAATAGTTTATTTTATTAAGTATTATGTAGTATTTTTGGTGAAACTAAAAAAATATAATCTGGAATTACAATAGTATGTTTTGGAGCAAAACGATATGTTAAAAGTACGTAAAAATTTATTTTGTGGAAAAGAAAAGTCTTTAATAGAAAATAGGAAAAAAGTAATCTAAAATGAAAGTATTGTGATGTTTAAACTATATATAATAATAATTTATAATATATAGCCTATAATAGTTTATTTTATTAAGTATTATGTAGTATTTTTGGTGAAACTAAAAAAATATAATCTGGAATTACAATAGTATGTTTTGGAGCAAAACGATATGTTAAAGTACGTAAAAATGTATTTTGTGGAAAAGAAAAGTCTTTAATAGAAAATAGGAAAAAGGTAATCTAAACTGAAAGTATAATATGTGATTTTTATATTTAATGTTCTTTTTTTATTTTTCATTAATTGCATATATATATGATATTTGGTGAAGCTAAAAAAATACATAATCTGGAATTTCAAAAGTATGTTTTCTATCACTATATATGTGGGGGAACGAAAATTCTTTAATAGAAAATATATAATCTAAAATTAAAGTATAATAGCTGCTTTTTTATTTATTATTTATTCATTTTTTCATATATACAAAGATATATGTATGTATATCTTATATACGCCCTTATTCTAGGACTTATATGAAAGTACTTTATATAAAAGTACAATCTTTATATGAAAGTTTTGCCTTCTTAAAAAAACGTATATCAAAGTGTCATGTGTTATAGCTATGGGTATTTGAAGATTTCATTAAGAAAATAAAATTCACATGCTTTAAAAAAGAATTTCACCTTTTAAATGTGGAGAATCTAATTTAATAAGGCCTACATGGCAGACTAAGGTAGGAGAGGTGTTTTAAATGCCCGCTGTCTCTCAGGACACTTATATGAAAGTACTTTATATAAAAGTACAATCTTTATATGAAAGTTTTGCCTTCTTAAAAAAATGTATATCAAAGTGTCACTTGACTTGCAGTCATTGTCAGTCAGTGTTTTTGTTGCTTGTTCAGTCACTAGACTGAGACTTTCTGGTAAACTGTAAAAAAGGCAAAAGTGTGACGTTAGTCACGGTTACGCTCCGACTGGATATAAAAGTACAATCTTTATATGAAAGTTTTGCCTTCTTAAAAAAACGTATATCAAAGTGTCATGTGTTATAGCTATGGGTATTTGAAGATTTCATTAAGAAAATAAAATTCACATGCTTTAAAAAAGAATTTCACCTTTTAAATGTGGAGAATCTAATTTAATAAGGCCTACATGGCAGACTAAGGTAGGAGAGGTGTTTTAAATGCCCGCTGTCTCTCAGGACGTCTCGGCTACATTAGGAACATCTTGACCTGCTGGATGCTGCAGTGCTTTCGCATTCAAAAACATATTTAGCCTGTTCAGTGGAACATGTGGCTCACGTACCGTAGTAAAGCATCAGTAAAGCATCAGTCAGACAGAGCTGTGGACACAGGCCAAGTCAGGACACAGGTCACACGGGTCTCATAATAACTATACGGCAAATGTCAATAAATAAACACTTGACTTGCAGTCATTGTCAGTCAGTGTTTTTGTTGCTTGTTCAGTCACTAGACTGAGACTTTCTGGTAAGCTGTAAAAAAGGCAAAAGTGTAACGTTAGTCACGGTTACGCTCCGACTGGAACAAAGCAGGGCATGAAATTGTGATGAGGGCATGAAATTAAGAAGGGTCCTTAGGAACAGGATGTAAATGTGATCTGGTGCACGCAAACACACACACACACACACACACACACACACGTCAAAATAAGCTTGTGATCTCTCCATCAGACAGTGCACTGTTTTTACATTTACAATAACAATAGCACAAATTGTCGAAAAAGTTGGGCTGTCTGACAAAAACATTTACAGTGTCACAGAGGAAAAATGGTCTAACAGATGAAAGTTAAGAGGTTGGAGGAGGCTGAAAATAAATGCACAACTTGTGACAACAGGCCCTGACCTTTACGTGTCTGTCCGGAACATTCTTCATAAAGGCCAGAGTGATTAGTGACCCTGCCTTGCCAGTCTTACCTCTATTCCGAGCTCGAGCTAAACACGCTCAAAGCTCTGTTGTAAACAAATACTCTTCATACCATAATATATAAGAAATTAAATACAGTCAAAAAACATCGGTCCTATGCATATTTACAGTACACTGGTCTAAATATCACATTGTTAATTTGTGTTTTTATGCAAAACAAAGAGATTCAGGAATTTTAGTGCAATAACTCTTCGATTATAGGTGAGTTTTACTTGTGGCATTGTAGATCTGTTGAAGTTGCTCCATAATGGAGAAGTATGTGAAAACACAAGCGCACACACCCACTGATTGACAGGTGGCGCAGCCAATCGCTGCGAGGCAGCGGCGAGGGGACACACCCACCTATCATTAGAAAGAAATTTGTGAAAGTTTGTGTTGATACTGTTGCGCAGCGTTATGCAATGCTTTATATGTTACACAGGAATGTGTCACAGTGTAATCGATGATTTCACTCGAGTCTTTGTTTGCAAGTTTAAAGAAAATGGATGGGATTTTTGAACACGCCCAAAAACGATTTAATCTTTAACAGTATTTTATGTTTTTTTAATATAAATTTTTTTTCTAGTATACATAATATACTATGAATAAACTATATATAATAATAATTTATAATATATAGCCTATAATAGTTTATTTTATTAAGTATTATGTAGTATTTTTGGTGAAACTAAAAAAATATAATCTGGAATTACAATAGTATGTTTTGGAGCAAAACGATATGTTAAAGTACGTAAAAATGTATTTTGTGGAAAAGAAAAGTCTTTAATAGAAAATAGGAAAAAGGTAATCTAAACTGAAAGTATAATATGTGATTTTTATATTTAATGTTCTTTTTTTATTTTTCATTAATTGCATATATATATGATTTTTGGTGAAACTAAAAAAATACATAATCTGGAATTTCAAAAGTATGTTTTCTTTAATAGAAAATATATAATCTAAAATTAAAGTATAATAGCTGCTTTTTTATTTATTATTTATTCATTTTTTCATATATACAAAGATATATGTATGTATATCTTATATACGCCCTTATTCTAGGACTTATATGAAAGTACTTTATATAAAAGTACAATCTTTATATGAAAGTTTTGCCTTCTTAAAAAAATGTATATCAAAGTGTCACTTGACTTGCAGTCATTGTCAGTCAGTGTTTTTGTTGCTTGTTCAGTCACTAGACTGAGACTTTCTGGTAAGCTGTAAAAAAGGCAAAAGTGTAACGTTAGTCACGGTTACGCTCCGACTGGAACAAAGCAGGGGTGGAAATTGTGATGAGGGCATGAAATTAAGAAGGGTCCTGAGGAACAGGATGTAAATGTGATCTGGTGCACGCAAACACACACACACACACACACACACACACGTCAACATAAGCTTGTGATCTCTCCATCAGACAGTGCACTGTTTTTACATTTACAATAACAATAGCACAAATTGTCAAAAAAGTTGGGCTGTCTGACAAAACATTTACAGTGTCACAGAGGAAAAACGGTCTAACAGATGAAAGTTAAGAGGTTGGAGGAGGCTGAAAATAAATGCACAACTTGTGACAACAGGCCCTGACCTTTACGTGTCTGTCCGGAACATTCTTCATAAAGGCCAGGGTGATTAGTGACCCGAAAATGACCTGTAGAGGTCAGCTTTTTAGCTACTTATGCAGATGTTCAGGTTCAGGGAGTGACTCACTGCACCAAAAAGCACCATATTTCGCAATACAAGGAATATTGTGAAATATTTCCAGTACAGACACACAATTCGTCTGAATATGTATTTACATTTTTTTATTTGCAATAAAAAGGGCCAATAACAAAAGCCCAAACATCAACCAATTAAAGTAGTAGTTCACCAAAAAAATTAAAATTTCCTGACAATTTACTCACTCTCAAACCATCCAAGATGTAGATCAGTTTAAAAACGTCTTAATGATGGATTTGTTTCTTACAAACATGCAGCTTTTCACTTCACAAGATGTTAATTGATGGACTGGAGTCATGTGGATTATTGTGATGTTTTTATCAGCTGTTTGGACTCTCATTCTGACGGCACCCATTCACTGCAGAGGATCCATCGGTGAGCAAGTGATGTAATACTACATTTCTCCAAATCTACATCTTGGATGGCCTGAGGGTGAGAACATGTTCAGCAAATTGTCATTTTTTTGGGTGAACTAACACTTTAAGTCTCTGGAGTGAACTGCATGATAGGACTAATGAGACACACAGAAACACATCGTATACAAATACACATACATAACACATACATAGTGCGAATAGTGCGTATCAAGTAATAGATCAGTACACAAAAAAGACATTAATGAACACTCACATACAGCTAAAGGATTTTAAAGCATCTTTTTAAAGTCTTCTTCACTGCTGGTGGTAGAAACAAGGACTTCCTCTGTATACATGTGCATTCCGTCCAATTATTCCTCTATTTTTCTTGTTTATCAACAAAACTGTCTCCTGTTCTTGCCTTTTCCCTTGATCCAGTCATCCTCTGATTTTCTATGGAGAGCCCATCTATTTCCCTATGCTTCCATTCTTGCTCTTGACTCCTTTTATCTG